GACAATCTGGTATTTAAGGGTTTTGTGTGAGAAACAAATTGAGAAATTACCAGACATATAAAATGTCAGGTATTTTCTAATTAGGTAAGTTTTATTATAATTAGGTGTATCAGTCGTTAGCTGTGAACTGCCTGGGTAGTAGATGTGCTCGCTGCCTGAGTATGTCTACCTGCCAGGCAGTTCGCAACTACTTGAGGGAGGGTATGTGGTGGGGGAGGAAGGGGGCAAAATGGAATCCCCAGGCAGACTCACTCCTCTGCCAGGGTCTGTAGGGTCTGCATGTGCCCAGGTCAGTCCCGCTCTCCCCCCCTTCTCCTCCCGCTCTCCTCAGTCCAGTCCTGCTTCCAGCAGCTGGTTCCTTCTGCCCCCCACCAATCTCCCCCAGTCAGCCCTGCTCCCCCAACTACCTCCCCACCAGCCTTGCTGCCCCTGTCCAGCCCTGCTTCCCCCATCCTCCTCCCTGCCTAGCCCTGGTTCAGCTGCCTGCCCTCCCCAATCTCCACCAGACAGCCCCACTACCTTCAACCCTGCTTCTACTGCCTGCCCACCCTGATCTCCGTGGGACAGCCCTGCTTCCCGGAAGCCAGTTCCCCTCATCCCACCTCCTCTGTCCCCCTCCCGGTAGCCACACTGAGGCCTGGCATTTTTTTCCCCAGCCACAGCCCATTGTTTGGGAAACACTGGTCTAATGGATAAGGCATCAACCTCTGCAGTCTGTGGTTGTGAGTCCTTCTCCTCTGGAGCAGGCAGATTTGAACATGGGACTTCTGGAGCTTAGTATAGGAGCCTCTACAGCCTGAGCTATAAAGCCAGCTGGCTCTGAGCGCCTGCTTTAGAGCAGGGCTACTAACATGCGGCCCCGCGAGTCGCATGCGGCCCGTAGTGCGGCTTGGGTTTACGCGGGACTCAACATGTGGCCTGCGGGTGGGAACCAAATCAAAAAAGTAGTCAATACACTGGTCTTAGCAGCTGCCCTGAGGCCAGGTATTTTTTTCCCTCAGCCCAATATCGGGCCGCGGCCCATAGTTTGGGAAACGCTGTTCTAAAGCATCTGCCCTTGTGGTTTCAGAGTCCTATCACAGCACTGCATGGGGCTAGCCTGAGGATTTGAGGGAAGGTAGCTGAGTGAAATTCTTTGGGATGTATCCCAGACTCAACAGACTGACTTGACATGGAAAAAGGGGCAGGTTCATGGATGAGAGAGAATGGGTCATAAGCTTACCAGGAAGCTTCCTCTTCCAGTAATGGCCTTACGGGTCCTCCATTTCAGGTGCACATGCGCCTGCTGAGCCCTTGATTTGGAGATTTTCAGTTAGCAGCGTCTATTTACTCTAAAGCCTTGGTATCTAACATACGGAAACACAGGATAAAGGGGTATGCTGGTGTGACGTATTCAGTACAATCCAGATCGGTGGGGAATTGTCATCCTTGTCCTATAAGATGGGGTGCCTTGCAATGCCTTACTTTTGTGGCCTCCAACGTCGACTGCTCCCAACCATCAACCACATCTCGGAGCAACTTCAGCCTGTCAGTCACACTGGCTCTCATCAGCCTGGATTATGCTTCAGGGTGACCTTAGAAGGCCATCATTGTCACTCTGAAGCAAATGTTCCTCCAGAAATGTATATTTTGTGCTGGCCAGTCCTCTCCCTAGTTTTCAAATAACACCTTTTGTACAGAGCTGTATTCTATCATAGCAAACAATCTGCCTTCTTAATCACCTCAATCTGAGATGTAGCCTTGGTATGTCTGCCTTGAGCATGCTTTGGATTTTCTAATACCACTGAAGTAGGTAACATAGTTTTTATAGCTTCAGAGGGGTATCCAAGTTAGTCTGTAACTGGAAAAGCTTAAAAACCAAGTAGTCTTGCAGCACTTTAGAGATGAACAAAACATTTTTCAGATAGTTTTTTATAGTAAGATGGTAGAATAGTTATAGTTACAGAAGTAGTGAGAAGTTTGTTTTATTCCCCTTTTCTTCAGGGATATCATTTGAGTGAGAGAGAGGGGGGGACTCTGGTCCCCTCCTGAATTTCATACATGAGGTTTACTTAATGGAGCTCTTCACTGCAGTATGGTTTCCCTGTGCTAGATGATGAATTCGGAAACTGGGGGAAGAACAATTTTTGTGGTAGGGAATTTGTTTACAAAGGGAGGCAGTACAATTAAGATAACAAATGGCTTGTAATTGGGATTGGTCCTGCTTTGGGCAGGGGGCTGGACTTGATGGCCTTCTAAGGTCTCTTCCAGCTCTGTGATTCTATGATTTCTAGAGTAAACTAAGGATATTTAGCTTATCATGAAAGCAATGCCAGGCACTCCAGTTAAAAGATCGGAAATGTAGGGTAGAAATAAATGGTGACATTGGAGTGAGATAAATAGTGATGTCCCCCGGGGGTCAGTACTGGGATCAGTGCGGTCCAACATATTCATAAATGATCTGGAAAAAGAGGTAAACAATGAGATGGCAAAATTTGCATATGATACAAAATTACTCAAGATAGTGAAGTCCAAAGTAGGCGAATGTCTCTATCAGAGAGAAGCAGCAAGAGGTGGGGAAGAGCAGGAGTGGGCGCTGGGGGGAACCTGTAAAGTTGGTTTCCCCCAGCTCCGTCTCTACAGAGGGCAGGGGGGACAGAGGCACAGGGTGAAACAGCACGAGCAGGGACTGCTTCAGTCCCCACTGTAGCCGCTTCTGCTTTTGAAACGTTTCAAAAGCAGAAGTGAGGCAGGCAGCACAGGGAGAGCACAAACTCACAGAATCTCCACTCACCCCATGCTCTTTGTGGCACCTGCCCCCCCTTGCTTCCTATCAGAGGAAGCAAGAGGGGGGGACAGGAACTGATGTTGGGGGGGAGCCAGCTTAAAAGCCAGTTCCCCCCCAAACCATTTCCGGGGTGCTGCCTGCCCCCCCTGCTGCGTCTGAGGGGGGGGGGGGAAGGAGACACTGCTACAAAGCAGCACCTGTCCACAGGGGTCCCAACCAGGATCTGGGTCTCTTTTTTTTTCCCCAGAAAAAAAGCATATTGCTTTTATATAAATTGATGGTACGCTCACATATTTTTTTCCGTCTCCACCCTGTGGACTGGGGCTGCTGCCATCAAGCAACCCCTGTTTGCGGCAGCCAGAACTGGCTACAAATAGAACTTGTAAACTGGGTGACTGGGCAACATAATAGCAGATGAAATTCAATGTTAATAAATGCAAAGTAATGCACATTGCAAAATATAACCCCAGCTATACGTACAAAATGATGAAGTCTAAATTATCTGAACCCGTCAATAAAGAGATGTTAGAATCATGGATAGTTCTCTGAAAACATCTGCTCCATGTACAGTGGCAATCAAAAAAGCTAACAGGATATTCAGACTCACCAGGAAAAGGGATATATAATAAGACAGAAAATAGCATATTGCTTTTATATAAATTGATGGTACGCTCACATATTTAATATTCTGTGCAGAGTTGGTTACCCCATCTCAAAAATATATATTTCATTTGAAAAAGGTGCAGAAAAGGGCAACAGAAATTATTAGGAGTATTGAACACCTTCTGTAGGAGGAGAGATTAAAAAGTCTGTGACTTTTTTCAATTTTAAAAAAGATGACGGGGAATGGAGGAGGATAGGATAGAGGTCTATCAAATCCTGAATGGTGTGGAAAATGGAATAAGGAAACTTTATTTATTCCTTTCTAACAGAAGACCTAGGAGTCTCTCACATGAGTGACCTGATAGCAGGTGTGAAAAATCAGGAGGGAGGTGATGGTGGTGGGAATAGCAGCATATATAAGACAAGGCCTCAAATATCAGGGCTGTCCCTACAAAATCAGGATATCTAGTCATCCTAGACATGTGTTGTTCCTAAATCTCTGGTCCTTTCCTCATCTGCTGTTTGTTCTTTTACCTTTATTGTATCATTTTCATTGATTCAGCTGTGCATTTGAGTTGTACAAGCAAACTATCACAAAAACCAATTTTGTCTGGTGTTACAACTTTGAAATGATCCTTAGTGACAGTGACCCGGCTGGTAGTGCTTTCGAGAGTATTTCTTCGTTGAAATGCATAGTTTCTGTTTCAGTCTCTACCAAATGAACCACACATATATCCCGACCTCTCTAATGCATTATCTGGCAATGTTTGCATGGTTTGTAGGCTATTTGTGCAGATTGTTCTCAGAGGACAAGGAGTGACAAGGACCTGTAGAGGTCTTTCCTACCACGTAGCATTGTTTTAAACATCTGGAGTATTGTGCGAGAGGTTGTACATGAGGATATCTAAAAGACCCGTCTCTGGATTTAGCATTCTTCAAAAATACTAAGGATCAGATACTTCCCATCACTGGCTGACATAAAAGTCGCATTTGACTTCATGGTGTGAAGTATGACTAAAGTTATTGCAATCTGTCTCTAAATAATGTATTTTTTTTCTGATTTTGTGTTCTTCAACTTATTATAAACAACCTTGCTAATTATCCATGCACAACAAAGTTATGGCAGGGTCTTGCAACCCCAACTCATTTAAGTAGCTCTGATAACTTAGTGCCCCTGTGAAATAGCTCACGTAAGAGCTGCAGGATCAGGTCCATGAACAGCACCTAAAGTAAGTGTATTGGTTATGCAAAAAAAAAAAAAAAAAAAAGCATTTACTCTGCTTTGTGCAAACACACTAGTTGCCTTGCTTTAAAAATGCCTATACTAACAATTATTCTGAGAGTTACAGTGACGTTTACATTAAATCATTCTTGAATTTTAAACTGGAGGATTAGCAGAGAGGGCTTTGTATTACATGTTAAATAGTTCAGTGAAAGAGGAGTCTTTTTAGATGAAGGAAACATCTTGGAATTGATCTGCAATGCCTAAAGAGTTGTCATGTTACTTTTGCTATAAAGTTTTTAAATAACAAAATTATGAAGCTTCCTTTTAAATGTATACCTGTTAATGGGACTCTCTTTCTTTCTTTCTCTCCTCCTCTTCCCCCCTTCCTCTCCCCCCCCCTCCCAGCAAGTTACAGGCAGAAGTTTTGGTGACAGAGATTTTCGGTCTGGATTAGAAAATGGTATTCTGCTTTGTGAGTAAGTAACACTTTTAGTTTGAGCTTAATATATGCGTCTTTGACTAAAGATGAATTCTGTTTACTTTAGCTGGTACAGTGCAATGGTTGGTTTCCTCTTAATTTGACTTTGGTACACTAAACAATTCATCTCACAGTTGTTCCAATGCCAGTGCTTTTGTTATGGTGAGGATTGATATAGGGTATATTAAAGCAAGTTTTAAAAAAGGCTTCCCTCTCTCCCCTGTATATAAAGTAAAAGTGACATTGGCAGTTTGGATTTCTTCTGTTTAAAGTGGGTAACTGCAGTTTGGAAGCTGTGCCAGCCTACAAACATCTCTGTTGCAATGAATGTTTTTGGATCAATTCCAGGTTACACTATTGGCAAGACTTGCTCACCTTGGTAAGCTTATTTGTTCTTACTTCATTTGAGGTCCAGGATGTACTCTGGACCTTTTATTTTTAAAGATATGCTCGAGAAACACACTTCTGAATTCTTCATAATACAACCAGTTCATAGATTTAAACAAAAGTCACCAAACATTAGACGCCCATGTTGATGCTCACACTGATGTTGAGGGGTGGGCATGGCATGGAAACAGAGGGTTGGATTTAATGTTTGATCTGGCCAGAGACTTCAACAAAACCTAATGGAGTTAAGTGCCCAGTTCACTGGCTTTCCATGTGATTTAAGTTCTTAACTCCCACAGGTGCCTTTGAAAATATCACACCTCAGCGAGGAGTTTGAGAAAAGCTACTGTAGCTGTCCAGTCTGTAAAGGCCGAATTTGCTCCTTCATATGTGTAGGACTGTTTAATCCAATGGGAACTAAAAGATACAGAATTAAATTCAAATTGAATCTTTCAAATTAGGGTATGTCTACACTGCATGGCTACCCCGCATCTCCATAAGCGGCTTGTTGTTTGAAATATTTTTCGACATAATGGGTGCGCTATTTTGCACAAGGGTTAAGAGATGGCTCAAGAGAGCTTATTTTGAAATTTGGTGCATCTACACAGAGCTAAATCACAGATTCTAGATAAGATATACAATTTGCACAGCACAAATTGTGTATCTCATTTTGAGTTTAGGGTTCTAAACCCTTAGATGTCTTGAAACATTAAACTTGAGCAGTACATTTCTTGTATTTGCTACCATTCTTTCTGGTACCAATCTTACTTGGATTCTGTTTTTAATGCAGTACAGTTGAGTTAATGCCATTTACTTAAGCAGTATCTGGCTTTGGAAAGCTGAAACTAATATGTACAACCATTGTATATCTCACTACTGCAATTGAACTTTAACTGTGAAAAGTTAAAGTGTGCGCAGAGCAAAGATGAGCTCATTTACTTACCTTTCCCTCACCTCAAGCCACATCTTTGGAAAAATGAATATAAATATAGCCAATACATATGATATTCAATCTGCAGAGGTCTGTAATGCACCAGAATGTATGTAAAAGGTTGGTCTTGGACAGTCTCTTCCTCCTTAGTGCAAAATACGTCAGTTGCGAGTATTGTGTATTAAATCGAATTAATATCATTCTTGCTTATCAAGGTTGACTTTTATGTAGGTAGAAGAGTAAGAGGATGTGTGCTTCAGGATTAGAACTTAATCTGATCTGCAAATAAACAAAGGTAGTTGGGTTAAAGTGATGTAAATCTTTCACATTCAAAGTTTAGGTAAGAAATGTTTTGCTTTATTGCCTTAATTTTAATGCATAAGAATTTCTCTCTTAGGAGACCATAGTGGCCAGTCATTATAATAGTAGATGATGAGATTGGAGTTGTTGAGTCTTCTACCTACTTGCTGTATGATCTTACGAAAAATAACTTTTCTTATGTATGTCCGTTTACAAGACTGTACAAGGCATATAATACTTGCCACCACATGGTGTATTCTATATGGAGACGATCCAGAGTACCCAGCGTCATAGAAATTTCCCTCTAATTTTTTGCATCCCTGGGTGGAATACATTTTGTTTTGTGCACCAATGTGGCAGGAGTCACTCCAAGTGGTTTTGGGTGTGGGAAGGGGCTCAGATATGGGGCGGAGGGTGAGGGCTCTGGCTGAGGGTGTGGGTTTTAGGGTTGGACTGGGGTTGAGGGGCTCAGGACTTGGACAGAGGGTTGGGGTGCCAGGGTTTTGGCTGGAGTGCAGGCTTTGGGGTGAGGTTGAGGATGAAGTGTTTGGAGTGCAGGAAGGGGGCTCCAGATTTGGGAGGAGGCTCAGAGATGGAGGTTTGGGATTTGGGGTGAGGCCATGGATGAGGGGTTTGGGATGCAGGAGGTGGCTCTGGGTTGGGATGGGCTCAGGGTTGGGCAGGGGCTTGGGGCTCAGCTTTACTTGGGCATTTACCTGGGTAATGGCACTAAGACAAGCCTGATGCCTTCCTATCCTGGAGCACTGTGCTTCCATCTCATTTGTGGTAACTTCCAGTTTGTATACCCGTGTCTATCAGCCTACTGTATTCAAAAAGCCCATGTTACTTTTATTGAAAACTAAAGTGAAATACTCATGGGCTACGTCTAGACTGGCCCCTAATTCCGGAAAAGTCATGCAAAGCAGGTAAGTCAGAATAGGGAAATCCGCGGGGATTTAAATATCCCCTGCGGGATTTAAATAAACATGGCCGCCGCTTTTTTTCCGGCTTGGGGAAAAGCCGGAAAAAAGCGTCTAGACTGGCGCGATCCTCCGGAATAAAGCCCTTTTCCGGAGGATCTCTTATTCCTACTTGAAAGGGCTTTATTCCGGAGGATCGCGCCAGTCTAGACGCTTTTTTCCAGCTTTTCCCCAAGCCGGAAAAAAAGTGGCGGACATGTTTATTTAAATCCCGTGGGGGATATTTAAATCCCCCGTGGATTTCCCTATTCTGACTTACCTGCGTTGCATGACTTTTCCGGAATTAGGGGCCAGTCTAGACGTAGCCATGTAGTTTTTTGGGATGGTGTTATGGATTATTTTTAATCTTCTTCCTAACTACACTGCCTAGCGGCTCAATTTCATCCACCCTTATTCTCTTTTTTATATAAATAACAAACTTCTTTATTTTAATTTGCTTGACAAGAGTGAAGTCAACTTGATTTATAGCCATGCATCCTTTATTCCCACATTTTCAAACCTCCATGATGTAGCTTTCTTGGTGATAACCCCTTTTTCCATATCCTGTAGGCTTTCTGTTTACTCCTAATAATAATACCTCTCTCTTCATACAAGTCTGACCCACTGAAGCAGGTCTGGAACACTTTCCCAATAGAAAATCTATTATAGTCCTTTTCTAAAGTAGTAGTCTTGGACAGTACAGTGTGGTGGGTTTTTTTCTATTGGCACATTCTTTCCAGTAACTTTGTAACCAGACCGGCATAGCGTTATTCCTAGGTCACTCACAAATGTCAAGCATTCTAAAAGTCTACAGCCTTCCATGGGTTACCTAAAATCTTATAGGTCTCAACCTGTAAGCTTTTCATTGCAGCAGGACTTCACTTAAGTACCTAATACACAAATGCTTATCACTCTTATACTTTTATAAGACTACAATTTACATGTATTTAGCATGCTTTCATTACATATGAAATAACATAAGTGTTGACCATAAAACTAAAGAACACAGTAAGTGAATGATAAAGCTAATTGGCTATATTCTGAAAATCAGATTCTGATAAACTGTTCCATTCATAGTATTTATTAAGTACAGAAATCTAAAAATGGATGTGAAATTCAAACTAGACATCATAAAGGGTTATGTGTTTCTCTTTGTGAACCTAGCTGTCACTGGGTGGGAAAACATACCTTAAGATCTAATTCCGTAAACATTTCTCGCATATTATTAGTCCATAAATTCTCATCCCTTTCATGTTTTTTTCTGAAATAAACATTATTAAAAAGCTTGATCTGAGATGTATTGAACAACTTAAGCTCCTGTTGTTTTTGAGAACTGCAGATCCTTTTAGGATCAGGCACAGCACTTGAATAACTCTGATTTTATAAAAGGAAAAACTTAAAAAACAAAGAATAGTCTGGTAGCACTTTATAGACTAACAAAACATGTAGATGGTATCATGAGCTTTCGTGGGCACAGCCCACTTCTTCAGATGTTTTCTATACATATTTTATTACTCAGACTTCAAACCCTGGATTTATATTTAGATGGTGTAAGAATAGTTGAGGACGGGGATGATATTTAAATACCAACTTTGAACCCGAACTAAAATATCATTGTAAAATAAATCTAGTTTGCTTATGAAGTGACAGCAATGTGTCTTGTCACACCATGGTCTGCATCAGCTCGTAGATTGCATGCATTAGTTCACTTGTATGTCTGTTTACTGCTGCTAAAAAAATGTATTGAACTGAAAAACTGATTTCATATACTAAGGCCTTAATTCAATTTGGCGTGTGCTAAAATCTCACAAACTTTAGTGTTAAGCCTGTACTTAAGTGTTTTGCTAAATATCAGCATCAGTATATAGTAACAAAGGGTTGTTTATATTCTGGTGTCATAGGAGTTCTACATCTACAAAAAAAAAAGAATGATTGAAAAAGAAAAGAGAACCTGTTCTCTATAAAACAACAAATAGTCTTGAAGCTCCTTAGTACCAAAATGTAGATGATATCATGAGCTTTCGTGGGCACAACCCACTTCTTCAGATGAAAGAAGTGAGTTGTGCCCACAAAAGCTCCTGATACCATATACAGTACGTTTTGTTAGTCTCTAAGCTCCCTCTGGAACTCCCGTTCTTCCTGTGCCCGTGCTCCATGATGCAGGTCAGGGCTCGCAGGGCCCCCAGCTGCTGCTCTTGGTACCCCTGCCATGTTGCAGTCGTCCTGTGGAACCCCTTGGGTACGGGAGCATGTCCCTGGCAGAGTGGTGCGCCCTGCATGTGCAGCTGGTGCGGCTGTGGAAAAAGAAGAGCAATGGTCATTCTCCCTGAGGACACAGTGGGTGAAGCCCAGCCCCCCTCTGTGAGGTGAGGATGACTGTGCCCTGCACTGTTAGAGCCATTGTGCTTGTACAGAGGCCAT